AATTCAGGTCATGGGAAAGCATTCCTCCTTTCTAGTCCATTTGTAATTCAGGACAGATTTTCACTCCAGGTCATAAATACATGCAACTTGTTTAGGTAACCACAATGCTTCCAAAACCACTCTGTTATGTGACTGCTGGTCCAAGATTTAACTTTTAGGAAACAGATAAGGCCAAACAGTGCAGTACTAGGGCATACCACTGTATATGCTGCCAGAATGTTTAAGTAAGGGTGAAGAGGCTGAGAAAACATTACACGAAGCTTAAGTGGTGTGAAACACCAAGGAATATCATCCTCTGGTTGACTGGAAAAATCCACTTATATAGTGGTATATTCAAAAGAATGCAACAGAAAATATGTAACAGATGGAAACCCTGCCTTCAAAGCTGAGGTGTTTAGAGACAGACATTAACGTAGCAAAACCCAAGACTCTGCAGTATGCTGAGCGCTTCACTGCCACCGAGTGACAATTGTGCGTATCAATGATTACTTACATTAGGTTCAGATTTTAATGTTGCAGATCATTTGGACACTTGGAACTTTAGCCCAAGAGAAGTTAATTTACTTAGCTTCACTGAACTCTTTCTGGTCAACATCAAACTGTTAATCCAAATAAATCTGAAACTAATATACCAATGTTAGAATTCTAAATTATCACAAAAGATGTTAATTTATTTTCCAGCTGATTAACCAATGTATTGCTTAAATTCACAAGGGTAAAAGTAATTCAAACACAGCAACTTACACATTAAAAAAAAAAAAAATTACTTACTTCTTCAGGGCTTGGTTTTGTACTTTTGAGCAGATCAAAATTAAGGAAGAGTTCACATTAACCTGCAACACAGAACGAGTGAGGAGGCCCAAGGACAGATGAATCGATCACATTCCTCTTCTGCAGACAGAGCCAGGTTTCTGCTGCAGCCTTACAGATCAGCATCAGACCCTCCCTTTGCTCAGCAGACCCCCCCAGCTCAGTTTGGCTCCCCCCTGCTCTTCCTCTGCTCCTGGTCTACCAGAAGTTAGAGGAAGGCAGAGTTATGAGCCACACAGACACCCATGTTTGGGCTCTCTAAACCAGCTTTTCCCCCCCAAAAACCAGACATCTAGCAGTTCTACATTTTGGATTTTCTGAGCCATGGAAGAATAACTAATGAAAGATGAACCCTTTTTGCTGACAGTCAGGAAGTAACATTAGTCACAGAAAATACACAAAACGACCTTAGTTCATTTGCTGCCACCACATAGTCCCTCCCTGTAGTTGTAAGCTACCATCTATGTAAAAACCCCAAGGATAGGGAATGAGATAAAATGAGATAAAACAATTAGATAAAAATGAGCTAAACAGTTATTATCCATTAACATTTTCTGAAGGACAGGGAAAGTCAGAAGAATTCTTCTTGGACTTTTTTTTCCCCTAATGTAAGTCTAGTGGTGGTCACTATCACTGATATTGCCATTCAGTTATTATCTGTGCAGTGCTTGCTGGTCAAAAAAACCCCCAAACAAACAAACCCCAAAGAAAAATGAAAAAAACAAAATCCATGACTAACAAAGACCCTTAGCATTTTTGAAGATTCTCTAGCTACACAACGGATCAACTGGAATCACCATTTTGAAAAAAATCTACATCTACTATTAAACTGTGCGGAATACAAATAAATGCATACACAAACAGTAAGAACACATAAAAGCCCAATTAATCCAACAAACTGTAGTTTTATTTAATGCAAAATGTGTGGTTTTTTTCCCCAAAGACCCTTCCTTTAAGTAGTGGCTTTAGGTGATAAACTACTGCAATACAAATGTTTAAAAAAAATATTAACACAATGCAAAGAAGTTGATCATTTAGCAAAACTATTTTATTAAAGCTTATTCTTATGATAAAATAATAGCCAAGAAAATCATATTGGGCAGATCTTCTGCAAATGTGTGTAGCTGCCACCTATTCAGATATCATTAAGTCAAGATATTCTTGTTTTCTGTGGTATTCTTTATTTTCAGCTATTTACAATCAAGCATGAAGCAGAATACATCAGGAATGTAGTATTACAATTTTCGCCTCGAGATTCAATGCTTATTGTAATTAATGCCAGACAGGAATTTATGTTTTCCTTTTTACCACCAAAATGCAACTATTCTACCCTTTTCCCATTCAGTATATTTAAAAATATTGCACTACGTTTAATTTATCTCTTACAATCATCATTAGCAATGCTATACGAGGAAAACTATATCCAGCTTCTCTTATCCACTGTATTACACAAGCCAATTTAAAACCTTGAATGCATTTCTTTAAATCAGTATTTGCATTGTTTTCACAGCTCCTTCATGTGTACCAGGGTTTAAATGAAGTACTTGGATATATTTGAAAACCTCTGTAGTAGTCCATAAGAGCAAACACTGATGGAGATTGAATGCAGGTCACCACCAATGGTAAGCCACAGAGAAAATGGAGTGGGGAAGTCTTAATACGCATCTCAAGCAAGTATAGGTTAAACAACTTTTAGTCAAGAAGGGAAGCTAATTTTGTGCGATTATTTGCTGAAGCTTAATTTCAGAAGTGTGTCACATGCTTGTTTTAGCATGGATAGTGTTTTCCATACATCAACTAAATAAGTATCAACTGCCCAAACTCACAAAACCGTGCAAGCAGTTGCATGAGTGGAAGTAACCGTTTTGTTTAGAGGTACAGGTATGCTCTTCCATCTGTGAAAACCATTGCTTCTTAGTTTTGCACATCACAAAATAAACTGAGAAGCAAATTTAACGAATAGGTACATTACAGACTGCCTAAAGGAGTTATTTTATGCCATAAAGGAGTTATTTTACCATCTTAGATTCAACTCAATTTCCACAAAGGCATTTTTTTTTTCCTACTACCAGTGATACCAAGGATAATGATACCAGTACCTAAGACAGTACCTAAAATAAAGATGATATTTTATATGACATTTCTCTACACAGAAGATGGAACACATACATGTTTACAGGAAATAAATACGAACAACGGCCTTAGCCAGGTGATGCTAAGATCCACAGTTTACACGTAGCACAAGATCAGATAGTTCTTTTCGAAAGCTGCTGGCTGAAATTCTTCCTCATCCCTACTGGACTCACTTATTTTGCCTCAAATAAAACATGTTATATACACTATAGGACATTCTTCTGACAAAGGTGATCCTTCTGCTCAGACTGTCTCTTCTGTCTGAGAAGCTGAACACAACTTAGCACTATATGATTACTCAAAAGCCTTGAGAGAACACATTTAGCTATTTTTTAAAGTATTTTGTACCTTAATCTTTCTGAAATGATGAAGTCTGCAGCAAAATCTTATTTTTTTTTAATTATCTAAATCTGTATTACATGTTTTTTGATAGAATGCTATGAA